CCCAGTACCAGTTACTTCCCATTCCCTCCTCCCTTCTACCCTCTGGCAACCACAAATCTACTTTGTGTCTCTATGGATTTGCCTGTCTTGTACATTTCATATAAGTGGGATCATATAATATGTGGTCTTTTGTGTCTTGCTTCTTAACATTTAGCATAATGTTCTTAGGGTTCATCCATGTTGTAATATGTATGTCTTTCTTTTTTATGGCTGAATAAAATACCATTTTGTTTATCCATTCAGTAGCTGATGGACATTTGAATTGTTACCACTTTTTGTCTATTATAAATAATGGTGGTATGAAATTTTGTGTTCAAGTTTTTGTGTCGACATAATTTTTCTTCTCCCTTGGGTCTGTACCTAGGAGTGTAATTGCTGGGTCATATGGTAACTTTATGCTTAACTTTTGGAGGAACTACCAAACTGTTCTCCAAAGTGGCTGCACCATTTTACATTCCCACCTGCAATGGTTTATGTTCAGGATGACTCAGACTTTTTCTTTGTCTGCCTTACAGTTGTAGACCCAACATGTCACAAGTTATACTTCTTGACTTATACCATATTTAACATTGGCTGCCATTTATTGACAGTTTTTTCATGTATTTCTGATAACTCCCCAACTTTCCCTTGTAATTGAATAAATATCTTCCAGACCTTTCCAGCTCACCCCCAGGGCCTTATGGTCAAGAAATGTATGTATTTCGATCAGAGGAGAGATTCAAATCCCCACCCATCCTGCCTCCTCACCTTCTCCAAGTTATTCTTAACAAGGACACTAATATATCTGTGAGTATCATAAGAGTATTGCTGGGGCATTTAGGGGTCACTAGGAACATTTGAGCCACAGTTTAGTAATCCTAGAGGTTGGGATTATTACAAAGGTGTAGCATTACAGGTTCCTTTTTCCAAGGCTGAGTTGTGACTTTTCCAGGTACTGATATCAAAATTCATAGTTGTCTTCTCATCCTAATATATCAGGCTCAGAGCTATGGAGTGCTAGAACCAGTTTCTGAGGCTTCTATTTCAACATAAGATAAGGAGTATTTATCATTTGGGGATACCCAAAGGAAGTATAAAGGCTTTTGTTGTTGTTGTTGTTGTTTTTTGCATATAATTTACATCTCTAGTCAACTCACTTGATTCCCAGTAAGATTATTTTTGCCTCTTAAAACAAATCTTCTGTGTGTTGTGGGCAAGGTTTTTGTTTTAGCTGTATTTAAAAGGATGAATAGATGCTAAGGCATAGGGTTTCTGCCCTGGACTCAGAATCGTCCTAATTTTCTGTAATGAGAATGTATTATTGATCTATATTAGGATAAGTGCTTTGTTTAAATGAAATAATACATTGTAGTTTAGAGTTTCTCAACAATCTCAAAGGGCTCTGGGGACGAACAAACTGTTTGGTTTAAGATTGTGCATTTAACCCCATCTAGTCTTTTTCCCTCCCTCTTTTAGTGTGACCCAGCCTTGCTCCCCGAGCCCAATCATGTTATGCTGAACCATCTTTATGCATTGTCCATAAAGGTAAGTGGTGGACCTGGCTCTTCACATAGCTTCCCAGAATGGGAGGGCAAGGGTTGAACACATGTTCTCCAGTGGTTACTCTGCTAATTCCCTGAAGCTGAAGCTGGCAGTAATGGTCAAAGTATAGGAAAACTTTCTTCTTTTTTAACTAGTCGGTGAGTTTGTTTGTTTTAGATCTTAGTCTCTATATCTGAGTTCTGGCTAGAACTGCCCTGTGATTGAATGGACTTTTTTGCTTCCTGGTTTCTTTTTGGGTAGCTTTAACTTTTGTATCACCTACTTAATTAAGTTTGAGGATTAGTTCTAGGATTTCATTTGCAGAAAAAGCAAGTTTATTTTCCAGTTCAAAGAATGCTTGAATGTGATACTAAGGCTCCCACTTTTTAAAAGGTGGATATGAGCTGCTTTCAGGTGCCCAAGTCATATACACCCGAGTGCTTGCATCTGTCCTATATACTAGGTAAAAGAGAAATGTGACTAGATTTGCCCTGTGCCCCTCAACTCTTAGAAAGCTTCTTGGTTTCTCTGCCGCTTTAGATTCTAGATTGAAAGTATCTGTTCAGTCTTGTCATGTCTTTGTGGTCTGGCTATTAGAATAAAATTTTATATAGCTCTGTAGTTACCAAACTAAGCTGAACATCATCAGAATCACTTGTGAGAAGTTTATAAAAAATACAGACGCAAAGGCTCCACTCCCTAGGGATTCTGAATAAGTGCATATAGGATGGGCCCCAGTAATTTTTTAAGGCTGTTATATTTTTAGATGTGCAGCCAGAGTAGGGAAATCATTGATATAGCTGCCTTTAGCAGATTATGTGGTACTTATTAAATACATATTATTGAATTGAATTTTCATAATAACTTTGTGAGATAAGTATTATTTTTAACCCCTGTCTTATAGATAAAGAAACTAAGGCTCAGAGAAGGTCATATTGCCAGTAAGTACCAGAGAGAGGACTGGAGGTCCAGTCCTATCCTCATTCCATGTTCTTTCCTAGAGATCATTGTGCCAGTATTTCCAAGTAGGTCTTCTCTCACCTGATCATTTCTACCAAACTTCTTCCTGAAGTTGAATTTTTAAACTGCTTTGCTCCTGTTGTGTTTATGCTGTGATCAGCATACTGTGGTCACAGAATTTTAATCTGAGAAGTATTCATTGTGGATAACACAGTATGGGGGGAAACAGGAAGATGCACTGGTTTCTTAGCTGGATTTGCGTGGGTTCTTTGGGATCTGACTGCACTTTGCCTCCTGTACAGCTGCTTGGCTATCAGTTGATGTCCACAGGTCTGCCATCTCCTTCTGTAGAACACTCATGGTCTGCAGCACTGCCTGGGAAGTGGTACCTCTTACTCTTCATACTGGTTCTGGCCCAGGTCAAGGTCTTGATTATTATCATTTAGGTTGGCATTGACCTTTTCCTGGTTCTCTCAGATTGTTTAAACTGTTTGGATTTGATCTACTGGATTGCGTGTCTTTCCAAGGAGGATTTTGGGGTCCACTTTGTTCAAGGATAGAAGATGATTCCTGAGTACCCTCTTGATCAGAGGACTTTAAGTTCATCCCTGTTATTAATAGAAATTAGACCTGCTTTGGAGCTTAGAAATGGTCTTTCAAAAGGATCATTGCCTTCTTCTCATGGCTTTTAAGACTTCCTTCTAGAAATGGATGCTAGGATATTTCTTTTTTTCCAAGCTAATTTTAAGCTCAATATTTGAATTTGAGGTGGGGAGGGAAGTGAGGTAGGAGACTAATATTTCTTTAGCACATATTATGTGTCAGGTACTGTGCCAGGTACTTCCATGTAATCATGAGAGCTGTCTTAATGGTAAGTGTTATCCTTTGTAATGATGAGGAAATAGACTGAGACATTAAGCAGAATGCTCAAGGCCACACAGAGAGAGTAACAGTAGGAGCCAGGATCAGAAGTTAAATTGATTTGACTCCAAAACCGACCTCTTTCTATAATACCAAATTGTCTTTGTTAAAAGTGAGCAACTGGGAAGGATTAATGGCTGGGAACAGCTGCCTACATTACGTCCTGAACTAGTGAATTAGCTGCATATATTTCTTTCCCTTGCAGGACAGTGTGATGGTCCTTAGCGCAACCCATCGCTACAAGAAGAAGTATGTCACTACTCTGCTGTACAAGCCCATCTGAAGGGATCCCTTCCCACTTCCCAGGATCCAGGAGAAGCATCTCCCTTGCCTTTCTGGACTGGACCAGTCTTACCTGGGACTCCTGGAAGGCTGATTTGCTTTGAGGCTAATATGTGTGTTTCAGTGCCTCTGAGTAGGATGCTCTGCTTTTGCATTTGATTGCAGATGAGAGCTTTATGAGTTCATGGAATTTATTTAAAAAAAATATTTATATATATATACATATGAGAGGAAGGTTAATGGAAGCCTCCTAGCCAGATATATTCTCTCTGCCTGTGGGAACTGACCAAGACCTGTTTGGGAGAGTGGCCGGGAGAACCATTATAGGAAGATTTTTTCCTAAACTGAATGAAGAGCAAACTCTCAGGATCCCTGTTGGGTAGAGATTCTATCACTGCTTCCTTGGCTCTCCAAGGGATGCACTTGTGCCAGACTACTGCCCTACTGACAGCTGCCTCCTTGCAGGGGCAACTTTTCTTGCATGGGTTCTCTGTATTCCCAGAGTATGTGGCACAATCTGTATTTTTTATATGATACCAGATACCCCACAAGAACCCTTTTCCTCTCATTTCACATTCTTGCTTTGTCAATCTGGCCCTTCTCTAACACAAAAATCAGTGGGTAAGTGACCCCTTTCAAAGATTGTGTGACATCTGACCCACCTCAGACACTAGGACTTGCAGAAAGTCTCCTTTATAGCCCAGCACAGGCCCATGACACTTTGTTACACTTGTTTTAACTTCTACTACAGAAAATATGGTTCAGTAGTATATGAAAGGCAGAATGCAGAAAGTCTACTTTCTTGGTTTGGTTTCGTGCCACAGTTTAGGCTGAACTGGCACATTCCCATAGGTTTTCCCACCTGGCTTGGCCCTGCTTCCGTGTTTTCTTTCACAGAGCATACAGCCTGAAGGTAGGAGTGAAACCAGGGAAAACTTTCATGTCTTTCATCCACGGAAGATTTTATGTGACTATGTTTTTCTTTTATCAAAAAATGCCTTTTCATTGGTCGTAAGAGACTGTATCAGAGAACTTCAGGCTCTTGATAAAGAGCTCCCAATATTTTCTCCTCTGGTCTAGCCCTCTACAATTTTACATTAATGTGGCTGACTCTGTGTACATCATTACAGTAAACACTACTCTAGATACAGATCCATTCAGGCTCGTTTCATTCACCTAAAAGGATCCCTCAACTTAAAGATTCATTAGGCCAAGAAGCAAGAAAGTACCCTTGCTGTTCCCAACCATGGAAAGTATCGTCTTCATGCACTAAGTGCTAACAGAATCATTTTGTTTTTCACCTTTTTCCAAAAAACGTTTTTGATGATGACGTGGTGTCAGTGATTTCCATTTGTGGAGTAAAAAGTCGCTGTTCAATCCATCACTGGGGTTTAGAGATAAAACATTTTTTTCCAAGTATCTGTGGCTGTTCATTACAGATAAATGCAAGCCAAACATTCAATCCTGGAGGATGCTAAACTTGATGCTTGAGAGGCTCCTTGACTGCTAAGATGAGCCCAGCCACACTGAAAGGGCACCCGTAGATCAATTAGCTACCTCCTGTCTTATGCATGTAAAGCCAATGACACAGTTGTTTCCGGGGCTGTAGGCCTCTTAGCTCCTGTGTGAGAGGCAATAGGGCATGGGGTTGTTGTTTTGCTGTCAGCTGCTCAGTGCTTTGGTGATTTATTGCTGAGAGTAAATACTGCTTTAGCTACTCAAAGCCCCACACTGCAGCAAAAGGCTTTTGTGGAGAATGTTTTATAGTCCCAATCACTTTTAGAATGGTGTGCAAGTTAAAACATCTAAGCCAAATTCTGTTACAACCAACTCTCAGGATCTACATTGTCTTCAGTTATACTAGAATTTTGTTTTTTCCTAGAATTTTGTTTTTTCCAATACCCATTAATAAGTGGGCCACTTAGGAAGATTTAAAATCTTGGTTGTTACAGGAAGGATTTTTGTGTACTCATATGTCTTGTCAGCAGTACTGAAATGTAATCATTGATGTGTTCATGTATTAAAATTTCTGTTCCACACAGTTATATCAGTAGGGTGGGGCAGGAAAAGAGATTCCTTCAATTTCTCTCAGGCCAGAGGCTTCTGTGAACTGGGTCTGTCTCCAATGACAGTAAGTTTTGGTGCTGGTGACCTTCAGATCTTTCTAATCTGGAAATGTGCAGAACGTGTTAGTTTTCCAAATCCTGAGGTAATCTCTCAGCCAGATCTGAAATGGGAGCCTACCAGCTGGTATGGAAAGGGACGAGTAAGAGGAACTGGATGATGACTCATTCAGCCCTGTCCCTCCTCTGTGCTGCTGATACATCCCATGGCCTTGAGAATTCCTATCATACTCTCAGTCTGTCCCTAAGAAAGTGTTTTAGAAGGTATAGAGGGAGGGAGGAAGGTACCCCAAAGTACAGCTCACTCATTCTTTTATATTGGTTAAAGGGATAGTTTATTTTCTGCAGAACTTGACAGATTTTGAAAATGAATAAAGGCAAAACAATTTTTTTTGGCTTTTTTTTTTCTTTTTTTTTTTTGGCCTTTAAGAGTTTCACAGTCAGAGTAACAAAATAGCTCTTTGGGAGGGCTGCTCTTAAAGAAGCACATCATGGTTTAGTGGTTGTGGAAAAAGAAGAGTGAGCTAAGGAGTAACACTAGGAAAATTAAGGCTTAAGTAACTCAGAACTAAAAATACCCTCTTTTAAAAAAAAACGAAATCAGTCATAACATACTGTCTTTGGGTCTCATTGTACAGAATTTACTGTATAAAAAAATCTTCCGTTTGTCTCTTGTTTCTATTTTCTGCCCTTTCTTCTATATTTTGCTTTAACTGAACGTGTCAGGCAGGCTTTACCAGGGTCTAAAGTCAAACGTTATCTAAAACAAATATTAGTCATCTTGCTGGTAAGGAGAACTTCTGTGTCATGGCTATTAGCTTGCTTTAAGCTTAGAGTTGAATAGGATTTAATCACTGTAGGCAAAACCCCTGAAGGGCATGCTGGCGTCAATAGTGTTGACTTTTTTAAACAATGCTTATTAGGTAGAGAAACACTGTAATAGAATAATCCAAGAGAAGTTTCTGACAGGATCCTACAAGCGCAGGCCCACTCGCTTCACTCCCAATTATTTCTAGTCTCTTGTAGACCTAGTGGATCTGACATAAAACTTATAAAAAGTGTTGGTACTCCATGTATGCTGCTAAAATGAAGTAAAGTTAGAAAAGAAGTGTTGCTAGACTGGGTTTATATTAATCTGGGTATAAATGAAGGCAACATATTAATGATAGACTCCTCAGCTTTTAATTGGGGAAATAGGGCTTTTAAAATTTTGGCCTCAACTAAAAATGATATGCAGTAATCTCTGTGTATGTTTGAAATACATTCTGTTCTCAGAGATTTCTAAATCATCACATTCTAGTGATTTGGGGTGGGGGCCTAAGAGCAGATACGCAGTTGGTTCCTGCATTATTCTGACTCATCCTTAAAGCCAAATTCTTGCTGACTTCTTCTAGGGGGACTGCTGACTCCAGTTACCCATGGGATGGAGGACCTGGGAGGGATAGAAGTTAAGAGTCTTAAAACTCTGGATCTAGGCATTTGTCTCTCCTTAATTATCAATCACAATTAAAGGTTGAAATGCTGTGATTTCTGCAATGAACCCAAACTTTTGGAGTAAAAAGGCCAAATCTTTTTAAATTACAAGAAAAAAAGGAAAGGAAGAGAAAAAAACAAAAAAACTCCAAGAGTCTTACTCATAAAACTCAGTTCTTAGCAATAGAATCCCTCTAGGATTCAGACTTGGGCTTTGTCTTGATTTGCTTTTCTCAGTTGTGCTTTGAAGTGAATAAATTTTGTTAAAAATTAAATTGTGTATTAGTTCCAACATTAACTGGAGTTGAATTGTGTGTAGCACAGTGCTTCTGGTCAGAAATACTAAATGCTCCGAGGATTTTGTAGTCAGGTTAAATGGTCAAGGAACATCTACCATAAGCATTATATTATGTATTGATCATCTTAACTTCTCTATCCCTGTCTAGAGCGCACCTTCCCAGGTGGTGGTTTTAGAACAGTCGGCGCGCACTGATGTTGATTAGTCCTAATCCCCGCATAGGCCCCATATGTGAGACTTGTTTGAATTTTGGTAAATTGGATAGCGTTGGTCAAGAGTCAGAATACTGAAGTATTTTGAATGTTTACAGTTCTGTTATAAAGGGGGAATAAAACTGTACTTTGAAAGGAATTAAATATTATGAGTCCTCCTTTAAATGGTGCTTTTTGTAACCTTTAGTGCTGAGATACGGAGCTACTTTTCAGTATTTCACAAAGGAGTGGCATACAAGAATGAGTTTTAAAGCTTTTCTCCAAATATAATTTGTCACTGGACTCTGACATGTCTGAAAATTATGTGATGTAACACATATAAAATGTGAGTTTTCTTCAATAAAACTTGAATAAAAGTATCATACAGCAATAATATTTGAACTCTTCATTGATTACTGATAATATTATCAAGATCATTTCTCAAAAGACTAGGAGTAGACTTACTGTATAACCCAGGAATCCCGCTCCTGGGCTTATATCCAGAAGGAACCCTACTTCAGGATGACACTTGCACCCCAATGTTCATAGCAGCACTATGAACCAAGCCAAGACATGGAAACAGCCTAAATGTCCATCAACAGGTGACTGGATAAAGAATATGTGGTATATTTATATAATGGAATACTACTCAGCCATAAAAACCGACAACATAACGCCATTTGCAGCAACATGGATGCTCCTGGAGAATGTCATTCTAAGTGAAGTAAGCCAGAAAGAGAAAGAAAAATACCATATGAGATCGCTCATATGTGGAATCAAAAACAAAAACAGAAACAAACAAAAAAACAAAGCATAAATACAAAACAGAAATAGACTCAGACATAGAATACAAACTTGAGGTTGCCAAGGGGGTGAAGGGAGGGAAGGGATAGACGGGATTTCAAACCTAGAATAGATAAACAAGATTATACTGTATAGCACAGGGAAATATACACAAGATCTTATGGTAGCTCACAGAGGAAAAAATGTGACAATGAATATATAGATGTTCATGTATAACTGAAAAATTGTGCTGAACACTGGAATTTGACACAACATTGTAAAATGATTATAAATCAATAAAAAATGTTAAACAAACAAAAAAAGATCTATCTGCCCAGGTAGCCTC